CTGCTAGAGCTCCTCGGTTAGACTCTGCCCGCTGCTAGAGCTCCTCGGTTAGACTCTGCCCGCTGCTAGAGCCGGAGCTGCCTAAGCCTGTGCTTTCATGCCTGATGGTGCGTGTTCCTCGTTCTCTCCCTCCCCTGTCCCCACCTCCCCGAGCTGTTGTTGCCAGCTGCGGGTCTCCCAAAATCCATGAGCTCATTTATCTTCTCCGTATCAAGTGAGCACTGAAATTACCGTTCTTCTAAATAGGCTGATGGCGCTGCATTGACACATTCCGAGTCCCCAGAGACACCTCTTCAGAACCTTGGGGATGCTCAGGAGACAAGGGTGTGCAGATGGGGAGGCCGTGTTTCTGTTCGAACCCGTTTGGTGCTGTAAACCCCAGTCAGCGACTAGGTTATGCCGTGGGATTGGCATTCTAGGAGGCTGCCAAGGAAAAGCCCAAGACACATTCTTTCACTGGCAGAGCAGGTGTCTTGCTTCGAGTTGTAACATGGCCAGTGAGGAGTAGCTCATGAAATGACCTCTTCTTCCAGTTTTATTAAAGGCAAGCTGTTTTGGGAATCTGTGTACTTTGTTGAGCCCTAAATCAAGACAGTAGCTACCAGGGCCCTTTCAAAATGTCTTGCTCTGACTTTGTAAAAACGGCGTAGGAGCGGTGTCTGACCTCTAACTTCACAAGGGGGAAGGAGAATCAAGGCTGATTCCTATGAGGCGGGGGTCAGACATGCCTCCTCTCTCTGCCACGTTTACCAATTCTGACACCAACCATCCCTCCCACGGCACTGTCTGCTTCTCTGATAGGTTCAATAATTCATTGCAGCGGCCACATAGAAGTCACAGACAATACTCAGATTATGGGGTTTACTAGGGAAGTAACAGTCGCAATTCAGGCTCAGGAACACTCGGGATACAGTTCTTCCATCAGGACAGCCTCTCCCCAGCTGTGCTCACAGGCACGCCTCCCTCTGGCCCCTGAGCCTCTGCCCTGCTCAGGCAAGTGTTACAAAGCTCTTTTAGCCCCTGCCAAGTTGTGGTGCTCTGGTGGCGCAGTGGTTAAGAGCTTGGCTGCTAACCAAAAAGGTCGGCAGTTAGAATTCAGCTGCTCCTTGGAAACGCTATGGGGCAGTTCTACCCTGTCCTATATCAATCGATGGCAGTGGCATTTTTTTGATACCTGTAGATAATGATCTGGTTTGGAAATACGATTTTTCTTTTGTTATGTTAATGTGGTCATTACAAGTGTAGGGTGGATTCTAAACCTAATCACTTCTGAGTTAGAAAAAGAGCAGACTAGACATAGATACCACGTGAGGATCTTCTAGGAACCAAGGAAAGCCCAGGGCTGCCGACCGAAGGAATCACCACGGCCGAGACCCTGGCTGGGACTTACAATGTCCTGAACTGTGAGAAAATAAATTCCTGTTCTTTAAAGCCCCCCGACTTGTGGTTTTGTGTTAAAGCAGCATTAGGTAATTAAGCACTAGGTAACCGGAGCGCTGGTGGTACAGTGGTTAAGAGCTATGGCTGCTAACCAAAAGGTCAGCAGTTCAAATCCACCAGGCACTCTTTGGAAACCTAGGAGGCACTTCTACTCTGTCCTACAGGGTCGCTATGAATCGGAATCAACTTGATGGCAACGGATTTGTTTGTTTTGTTCATATAACCTAGACAGGTGTGTTGGGACCAACCTTAGCACTAGGCTTCTCAGTCTTGTCTGGATCCCCACTTCCTGTGTGCGGAGCAGAAGCCTCTCTTCCAGCACTGGGTGACCTGGCATGCTCTGAGGATCTGTCAGGACATCATCGGGCACTCGCTGGTGGCTCCAGGAGATTGAGTGGAAATATCCCAGGGCTACTCTGCCCAAAGCTCCCTAGAGAAGTTGAGATCAGTAAGTTATAAGCATATGATGGAAGGTAACCTACCTTATAATTGAGTTGTTGGGTGCTGTGGAGTCAATTTTGAGTCATAGGGATCCTCTAGGACAGAGTAGAATTGCCCCATAGGGGTTTCTAGGCTGTAATCTTTACAGGAGCAGATCACCTGGTCTTACCTCCTGTGGAATCGGTGGGTGGGTGCAAACTGCCAATCTTTTGGTTAGCAGCTGAGTGCATAACCATTATGTTACCAGGCCTCCAACTTTTAATAAGAGCAAAGCTTATCGCTAAGAGTGCGAGGCCTCCTTAACCAGCCATTGAGTTCTGCCTCTGTCTTTCATAAGAAACAATTCCAGGGCAACTGGGCCGGAGATTCAAGCCTAAAAGTCGATTCTGATGTAAATCGAATACCCCATTTTTTTCACTTTTTAGTTTTCGTTATTACTGCCTTTTATTATCAGCATCTTTATAAATCCAATCTTTCTTTGTTTCGGGGGGTTGGGGGGTTGAGAATGATAACATCAGCAACTTACGTGCTGCAACACTAGTACATACTACTAATGATAAGATGTCCAGAAAAAAACAGTCCTAAGCGTAAGTCGTGGACTAGTTGTATTGCATGGTGTGCAGGCTACTCGATAATATTCTAAGAACTTGTAGAATAAATTTGAAATAGTTGTAGCAGCTGCTTCAAGATATACAAGCTAGGGAGACAGATAAACTACTGAAACAGGTACAGAGTCCCTCTGAGCTGGTCAGGCAGCTCGTTACCTCTAGCCCACCCATGCGAGCCTTTTCCACGGTGGGCCTGGACCATGCCCAGTCACCCTGGAGGTTCCGTGGGTCCTTGGCTTGTTGACGATCCTCACGTGGCATCTGTCACCCTCCTGTGTGTGTGTCTCTGTCTGTCTTGCTCTGGTTAGGACCCTCCCTACACTGCTGCGACCTCATTTCACTGAGAGTAGTTTCAACCAGATATGACCCTCAGGGTAGCCGCTTCCTTACCAAACTCACTGCCTTCAGTCCAGCTGAGTTCTCTTCAGTTTCAGCGTCTTAGATTTTGCTGATTGTTGTGAACGTAAGCTGAACTTCCCTCAGCGAGTTTACAGATCACGGGAGGCTATGTCGCAGACCCTGAGTGGGCACCGAGGTGGTGGCCAGGTGGGCGTTCCACGCCTATCTGCTCCCCATTCGTGCACACAGGGTGGTCCAGGAAGGACGACAGCAGAGCCTTCTCTTCTATCCACTCCAGACTAATAAGACAAAACAGGGCATAGGCTCTCCAAGGCTGCAAAGCTTGAGAAGGACATCTGACCAATACATCAATAGTCCTTCAATTCATGTTGGCAGAAGCCAGGATCATCTGAACTATACTTGGAACCGTTTTTTTACTATAATTTATTTTTTGTTTTGTTGTTGAGAATATACACAGCAAAATATGCACCAATTCAACTGTCTACATGTACACTTCAGTGACACTGATGACATTCTTCGAGTTGTGCAGTCATTCTCACCCTCTTTTTCTGAGTTGTCCCTCCTCCATTAACATAAACTCACTGCCCCCTAAGGTTCCTATCGAACCTTTCAAGTTGCTGTTGTCAATTTGATCCCATGTAGATCTTAAAGGAGCAAAATACTCAAAGGCAGACATTCTTTACTAATTAAGCTAAATTACTGTTTGCAAACCATTGATATTGCTGCATTAGTTCTACAACTGTTTATTAAGCACCTACTTCATGCAAGACCCCATGCCAGGTCCAAAGGAATAAACACTGGGACCTGTCTGCGAGATGCTGGCAGTATGTTTTCTTGCACGAGTCTGAATAAGAGCACAATGCTCAAGGCGGACATTCTTCACTCATTAAGTTACACTGATGTTTGGTTTAAAGAAGTCTTCGGAGATATTTTGGTTAAAGGTTTAAAGATGATCTCAGGGCATCCCCAAAGGTCTTTAAACCCTTCAACACTCTCAGAGAGAGTTTCATAGAATAATCTTTATGTGTAGTCATGGGAGATTGAAGAGGCTCAGTGATCATCTATCTACAGGTAAGAATTAAATCTCACGAGGTCCAGTGGCTTCAGCTCTCTAGCCACTCTTCTCCAGAGTATCTCTCAAGGAGCAGCGAGGCCTGGCTGACATGCACATCTTGTCTCTGAGACTGAGCCGCTGGAGGGCAGAGCCAGGCCTCCCCTCTGTCTGGAGTCCCCTCTCTGCACTTCCCGCAGGGCCATGCCCATGGGACCAGCTGAAAGAGAAAACATCTGAGCTTTTTCCTTGGCTCGTGAGTTATCAAATGTCTAAAGCATAACACAGCCTCTACCAGAATGAGCCCAGAACAATTAGATGGTGCCCGGTTACCACCACCGACTGCTCTGACAGATCACAATAGAAGTTCCCGGACAGAGCTGCAGAAAAATGAACAAAATTCAAATTCACACACACACAAAGTAGACCAGGCTTGCTGGTTTGACAGAGACTGGAGAAACCCCAAGAGTATGGCCCCCAGACACTCTTTTAACTCAGTACTGAAGTCACTCCTGAAGTTCACCTTTCAGCCAAAGATTAGACAGGTCTATGGGGCAAACAGGAGCCCTCTTGACACAGGGGTTAAGAGCTACAGCTGCTAACCAAAAGGTCGGCAGTTCAAATCCACCAGGCATTCATTTGGTTTTTATAAAGCAAACAATAACATACATGAGGGACATGCTTCATAGTTCAATCATGTAT